GTCCTTGGAGGTGATTGGATCCACCTCTGTGGGGAGGGGCCCAGAGAAGGTGCAGGACTGGTCCAAGATTAAAAGTGAGGTTTGAACTCCAGAGCTGGCATTCTTTTACCCTGCCCGCCAGTGGCTCCACCTGGGTACTCAGGGGAGCGGGTGGTGGGTAGTGGGCACCTAAGCCTTTCTCTTCTTCCCGTGGTGTAGTTTGGTTCGTGCTCTGATCTCTCATTGCACTTGATCTCAGCGGCCTCGCCCCAGGGCCCAGCTGAGGCTGCCGAGGCCAATGTGAATCTCAGCACCCCAGAGCTGAGAGGGAGAGGTCAGGAAGCTGCCAAGAGGCCACCTTGAAATGGGGCTAAGGAAAACTTGCTAACAATAATTGTCTCCGATAAAATAGAAGCTCCTCTGTAGGGCATTGAGAGTCCTGACCCCAGCCTCCCGTTCTAGCCTCGTTATCCATTACTCTGTCTCCCTGGTGACCCTGCATCTTTGCCTGCCCTGGGCTGTCCCCCCCTCCACCTCCCCAGACCTTGCTCCTTCCACTTTGGGAGTCCGCGTGTACTTGTATGCGGCTGTCATCTCCCCCTTAGAATGTAAGCTTCTCGAGAGCAGACTGCGTGGCCTTCTCCGTGCTTGTTTTCCGTGGTGCCCGGCACGTGATAGGAGCTTCGTGATCGCTTGTCGCGTCGTGTGGAGACCTCCACGGGTGGATGGGCTTCCTGAGGCCGTGGCGGGTTTGGCGGCAGCCGGATGCCTGCTTGTTGGGATTGTTATCAAAGGGGCTCTGTGTGGGGCGTGGGCTTGACCAGAGGCTGCCCAGGTGCCTCCCAGGGCGAAGGTTCTGGGTTCGAGAGCTAACTTTCCATAGTGCGCTGTCTCAGTGAGGCCTCTCTTGGGATTGCTGGAGATGCTGGGATAGTTAGGTCCGGACGTTGGTGGTGTTGAGTGGCAGAAGTAATACAGGGGCTAGAGTCAGGAAGACAGGGGTTTAAATCCCACCTCAGACACTCACAAGTCACCTCAGCTCCCTGGGCCTCAGATTCGCCATCTGTAAAATGAGGAAAGGCCTCATGAATCCCAGCTCTAACTCCACGATTCCTTGACGACTCACCGAGGAGTCCGTCTTTGCTTTTGTCCATTCACCATTCCCTTCTTGTTCCAAACATCTCCTTATTTGGTCTTTTTCAGTCGTGTCTGACTCTTTGTGGCCCCATTTAGAGTTTTCTTGGTAGAGATACTGGAATGGTTTGCCATTTCCTTTTCCAGCTCATTTTACAGATGAGGAAACTGAGGCAAACAGGGTGAAGTGACTTGCTCAGGGTCACACAGCTAGTAAGTGTCCGAGGGCAGATTTGAACACAGGTCTTCCCGACTCCAGGCCTGGCGCGCTATCCACTGTTCCGTCTGGTTGCCCCAGTGTCTACTTAACCAATCCTTTAGGTTTATAACGCATTACCTGGGCCCCTCCTGGTGGCCCTGAGGCCCAAAGAGATATTGCTGGTTTCCTGTAATAGTATGAAATGGGCCTGATGCCTGAGTCAGGCTGATGGGCTGCGAGTCCGGAGTGGGATTTCAGCCTTGACGTGAAGAAAACCTTCCCAGTAGTTAAAGCTGTCCCAGGGTGGAAAGGAGCTCTGGAAAAGGAGTCTATTACCCCCATTAGTGGGCATTAAGCCGATGACTCACTGGCTGTGTTGTAGAGGGATTGGTGTTCAAAAGGTGGAGCTGAGCTGTGGGGCCCCCTGCAATTCAAGACTCCGTCTGAAGCCTAGGCTCTGAGGTCTGAGACTTCATTGGCTCCTGGCATTCAGGCTTGGAAAAAGAGAAGGTTTGATTTTTCTAAAACTGTTTGTAGTAGGGAGGCCTCTTCTCAGTATCTTCCTTTGCTTATCTGAGACATCATAGGGATAGCAGCATCAGAGCATCGTAGGTCTAGTGCTGGCAGGGATGCATCTAGGCCAACCTCTCTCTGAGGGGCTTAAGGGTCAGTTGTGACTTGCTAGCTGTGTGACCCTGGGCAAGTCATATAACCCCAATTGCCTCTCAAAAATAAACAAAACAGTTGTGAGCACCAGAAGGAAGATTATTTTTATTTCAAGTCCTCATTCTTTCCCTGTCACCCCCCCGCCAACATTTAGAAAGCAAGAAAAACAAAACCCCTGTTACAGATATGAAGAGTCACACAAAACAAATCCCTGCGTTGATTTATGTCCAGATAAAGGTATCTGAGCCTACACTGAGTCTCCATTACTTCCTTAACTGGAAGCGGGTTCTGCTCACTACAGTTGGTCTCAGTTCTAACAGGTCTTTCCACGTTTCTCTGAAATAGTCTCCATTGTTTCTTAACAACTTGCTCCGCTGCTGACAGACATCCCCTCTGCTCCCGAGTCTTTGCCACCACAAAAAGGGTCCTTTTCCTCTTTGATTCTTTGGGATCCAGAGATAGATAGTAGCAGCATCACTGGGCCAAAGGCTACGCCCAGTTTAACAGCTCTTTTGGGCCCTAGTTCCCGCTTGCTTTCCACAAAGGTTGGCCTGGCTGAGGTTCCATCAGTGGGCCTCATTTACCACAGCCCCAGCATGTGTCCTTTCCGTTTTCTCTCATCTTAGCCAATCTGTATGAGGTGTGAGGTGGCACTACCTTAGAGTTGCTTTAATTTGCATTTCTCTAATGAGTGACTTGGAGCATTTTGGACTCAGCCTCTGCAAAGACGTGGGAGTGGGAGATGGAATTTCTCATATAAGGAAAGAGCCAGCAGGCTGTGGGACTGGTACTCAGGGTTCATGAATGTGGAGTGACGTTTAATGAGCCTGGAAGGGTCTGTGGGAGCCAGGCGATTGTGGGAGGCTTTAAAAGCCATGCTGAGAAGGGGCAGCTAGGTGGCGCAGTGGATAGAGCTCTAGCCTTGGAGTCAGGAGGACCTGAGTTCAAATCCAGCCTCAGACACTTGGTACTTACTAGCTGTGTGACTCTGGACAAGTCACTTAACCCTGATTGCCTCACGAAAAATAAAAAGCCTTGCTGAGGCATTTGTTTTCCACGTGGTGGTACTAGGGAGTGTTGGAAGTTTCTTCGTGTTGTAGAGGGAATTCGTGTTCAGTAAGAGTTGAACTCTGTGGCTTCTGAGATCCACTCCAGCTTGATCTGCTGGGTCTGAGGATCTGGGAGCCCATTTGGATGCCAGCATGTTGCTGCCTGTGTGACCCTGGGACAGTCACTTCACCGGCCTCTCTGGGCCCGTTTCCTCGTAGAAGGAGAGGAATGAAACGCATGGCCAGTAGGAACTTAGGATGAGAAGATGCCACCAGCCAAAAGCCCCTCTGCTGCCTTCCAGGACCCCGCAGGGGAGGGGAGGTCAGAGCTGTTTATGTCGGGCAGTTATGAGTTTCATTTGTGTTTCTGGTGCAAGCAGTGGTTGGAGGGAGAGAGGGCAGGATGCTGCCAAGTGAAGGAGCCTGGATATCCACTCCAGGCTGAGTCTTCCTGAGCTGTGACTTGTCTCTAGGATTCGTGGACCGGTTGATGGGGGTGTGGTTCGTGGAGGGGGTGGGGGTGGGGGGCTGGTCCCAGGGTCTGTTTCCTGGCCTGGCCACTTGGTGTATTTCCCTTTCTTTTAGTCCAGGCCTGTTCTTTTACCAATGAGGAAACCAGCCCCTCAGGGTTTAAGGACCCTGCCCAAGGTTTCCTGCCTAGTAACTGAAGGCAGGGTTTGGACCAGGTGCTCCCACTCTACCAGCCATCCAGGGCCCTGGGCCTCTGCTGATCCTCAGGCTTGCTCCCCTCCCAGAGGCAGCCCCTTGGGATCTGGCCCGGATGTAGAGAGGCTTTTCTGCTCTTCCTTCTCTGCTCCACAGCCAGGGTATTTCTGGATGTGTGTGGTGGAACAAAGACCGAGTTGGGTGGTTTTCTGGGAAGGGGTGGTCCAGAATTTAAAATGAACTCCCCTGGTTCCTAGTACAGTGAACTGAAACGTGGCAGATATCTCCTTTCCCAAACATCTAGCCTTCAGAAAGGGCCCTGGAGTTAATGTGAAGGCTTTCAATAGCTGGAAAGATTCAGCCAGAAAAAAGTGGCTTCTGATTCGCTAAGTACAGAATAACAGGCTAACTTACAGACAGGCCCCAGGCCTGGGCGGGAGGCAGGGAAATGTACCCGTTACCTCTTCCCGCCCCGCCTGGGAGCTCTGCCTCCTGCTCCAGAGAAGATTTATGGGTTCTTAGAGCTTGAAGTGACGGTGGAGGCCGTGGGGGCCAGTCCCTTCATCTCCGAGGCAGGAAGACATCAATCAGGGCCAGTCCTGACTCAGACGCTTAGTAGCTGCGAGAGGCTGGGCCGACCACACGGCCTCAGTCTTCTCTTGTGTGAAATGGGACGGGAGTGTCAAAAGAGCAGTTTGTGATCTCCAGCTCTCTCCAGAAATGACGTGTTGTTGTTTATTTTACAACTGAGGAGGCTTGGACCTAGACCAGTTGAGTAATAATGGCATTTCTAGAATACCTTAAGGTTTGCAAAGTGCTTTTGATCTGATCTGTGATCTTCACAACAACCATTATGAGGTAGGTGCTGTTGAGGTTTCAGTGACTTGCCCAAGGTCGCTTGGGTGCATTGCTGAGCCAGGATTCAAACTCAGGTTCACTTGAACCCAGATTTTAATTTGACTCCACACTTGGTGCTCTTTCACGGCCCTGCGCTGCTTCTGGTGTTTGTGGGTCTTTTTGCTTTGGGCTGGTGTGTTGTAAAGCAGGTTTTGAGCAGAGGCACACAGCTGATTGCCAGCAAGCATGGGATGTACCTCCGAGGGCTGTGATGGGGCTGGGGGTTAGGAGCAAAGACCCCAGATGGAACTCCCTGCCCTGCCATTGGTTCCCCCCAGTTCCCTGCCCCAGAGGGGGAGGTCCTCTCAGGGCAGCAGAGATGCAGACAACACACAGCTGTGCGGTCCGGAGTGTGCCCAGCCAGTGCCGTACGCAGCTCCTCACCAGGCACGTTTTCTGACGTCTTGCAGAACCGGGCGGTAGGGCGGCCCAAGGGGAAGCTGGGCCCGGCCTCAGCGGTGAAGTTGGCCGCCAATCGGACGACAGCAGGGGCGCGTCGGCGACGGACGAGATGCCGCAAGTGCGAGGCCTGCCTGCGGACCGAGTGTGGCGAGTGTCACTTCTGCAAGGACATGAAGAAGTTTGGGGGGCCCGGGCGGATGAAGCAGTCCTGCATCATGAGGCAGTGCATCGCGGTAAGTGCCCGCAGGGTTTGTCAGGGCCCCGGCCCCGCGTCTCCCTCCTCTCCCCTTTACAGTGAGCTGGGGAGTGACCGAGCCAGGGCTCCCTCCTCAGAGTCTCAGAGACACGATGATTCCTTTCCTTCCTTCATGGGACAGGAGACCTGAGTGACCCTTGTATGCGCACAGGCTGCTCCGACCTCGGGGATTAGGCTGCAGCGCGGGCTGGTCCTCAAGTCCTCTCTTAAGGTCTCCCTCCAAGGCCCCCTCCTGGCTGGAAGGGACCTTTGGTTTTTGGAGGCCATGCCCACGCCAGCAGGTAGCCTACAGACCAGTCCCACAAGTTCCAGACTCCTGCTACAGCAGACTAGTCAGTGAAGAGCCTGGCATTTATAGATCTCCCGCGCTAGGCGTGGGGAGCCCAGGAGGCCCCGTGCAGGCCTAGCCCGCCAGCCTGGGCCTTGTTCTCCGGGGCTCCGGGGCTGACCGTTGTTCGCCCCGTCTAGGGAGGGAAGGGCCAGATTGGACCGGAGTTAGGATGACAGCTTCCTTCGCTTTCTCTTCCCTCTGCTCGGCTCTGCACGGGGGACTCTGTTTCAGCTATCGTCCCAGTTCCTTGTCCTCCCATCATCACAGCCTTTCAAGGCTCATTGCTTGCTTGCTGGCTCATTCTCACGCTGCCTTCTCCAGGAAGCTCGCCCTGACCACTCTGTCTCCCCAGCATTGCTGTATGTTGGTCAGTTGTATCCAGTTCTGTGTGACCAGACCGTTCATGGACTTTTCTTGGCAAAGATACTCCTTTTTTTTTTTTGGCCATTTCCTTCTCCAGTGGATTAAGGCAGTCAGAGGTTAAGTGACTTACCCAGGGTCATCCGGCTAGTAAGTGTCAGAGGCCAGATTTGAACTCGGGTCTGACGCCAGGCCCAGCGCTCTATCAGCTGCGTCTAGCTCCTACGCAGAAGGAATAAGAAGACAGAGGAGGCACTTGACTGGTGCTCCAGGCCTTGACTCTTGGCCCTTGCTAATATACACAGCCTTAGAGGCAACATTGTATCTTATTGTATCCCTCCCCAGAGGCCTGGCAGCTGTGTGACCCTGGGCCAGTCACCTAGCCTTCTGGGCTCCGGTTTCCTCACCTGTAAAAGGAAGGGGTTACACAGATTTCACCAGCACAAAATCTGTGCTTCGGTGATCTGTCTGCTCACGGGTTCTCTGCTGTTGCCTCTATTTGGGGGCCCCTGGACCTTCCCCTGTCCCACTGCACACGGCACCCACTCCCCTGTTCACCCCTGGCTCGTGGACGCAGTAGGGGGTCATCCTCACCTGTTTGCTGTCCCTGGCCATATGCTGGTGCCCAGCCCCAGATCCAGCGTTCTTGTTCTGGTTTTGGTGCTCATCCTAGACCCCTAGAGTCCATCGGCGCCCTGCCTGCTCTGGTCTGACCTGCAAGTGCTCGGGGTTCTGCCCTCAATTCTCCTCCCCTTGTTCAGACCCTTGCCAGATTGGACTGGAGTTAGGATGACAGCTTCCTTCACTTTCTCTTCCCTCTGCTCGGCTCTGCATGGGGTACTCCGTTTTAGCTATCGTCCCAACTCCTTGTCCTCCCATCATCACTGCCTTTCAAGGGCTTGCTGGCTCATTCTCACGCTCCCTCCTCCAGGAAGTTCATCCTGACCACTCCCCAGGCTCTGTGAGCTCTCCCTCTCAGCACATTGGTCATACCGTGCCCAGGGCCCCAGGCATCTCGGTGTTGGTGTAAACTCCAGGGCAGTACCTCCGTCCCATTCCTCATGGGTCCCTCGAGCCCCGTTTGGTGTCTTCATCCATGCCTTGGCCTCCTCCCTGGCGTCAGCCTGCAGCTCCTCCAGGGCCATGGTTGGCGGGCTCGAGGGTCGCACCTAGGGGATGGCAGGGAGGTGTCTGGCGCCGGGGGGGGTCACCATGGATGCTGCCTGCTTGCAGGGCCTGACTCTCCTTCTGTTTTCTCTTTCTGCCATGGTCACAGCCAGTGCTGCCTCACACTGCTGTGTGCCTGGTGTGTGGAGAGGCGGGGAAGGAAGACACGGTGGAGGAGGAGGAGGGCAAGTTTAACCTCATGCTTATGGAGTGCTCCATCTGCAATGAAATCATCCACCCTGGATGCCTTAAGGTGAGTGCTGGCTCCAGGATGCCTGCACCTGCTGTGGGGTCATCACAGTCACTCTGTAGCCTGCCCTGCCCATTAAACCTTGCTTCTGTGACGGGGATGGTTACCCAAGGCCCCCTGCAGAGGAGTGCTGTGGTCCATCCCCCCGGAGACAGTGGCATGCTACTGCAGGTATGGCATGGCTGGGGCCGTCTGGGGCCATCAAGTCAGACTGCAAGTGTCACACAGGGCCTGAATGGCGGAGCCAGGCCTCATCCCCCGCCTAGAGCCCTCGTGTACCCATAGGTGCCCATGTGCTTGGGCTGGCATCAGAAGGCCTGTGGCCAGCTGGAGCCGGCAGGTTCTGTGTGGCCACAACCATCTCAGGAAAGTCTCCTGAGGAGACGGTCAGAATTTCCACCCTGGTCGTAATCATAGTTGTACTACAACTCCCAGAATCCTCTGCAGTTGTCTTCTCCAGCTCCCCCCTTCCCCACAGAAAAGGAGGCAGAGGGAGAGGGGAGCTGAGCTTTCTGGGTGGAGACAGGGCGCCTGGGGAGGAGGGGAGCAGGGTGGGGCTCTCCCTCCTCCCGCTGCCCTTTGTTCTCTTAGCTAGTCCAGATTTCTGACTTGTTGGCCTCCTAGGAGGGGGGAGAACGCTGGAGCCCTCCAGGGCTGTTTGCCTGTCCCCTGAGCTGGGACATTCTCCAGCCAAAGTGGGCATTCGCTCTTTCAGCCAGCAGCCTTCTTAAGCCTCCAGTTGCTTGGTGGCTCCAGGGGCCCCAGGGATTTCCTGTCTTCCCCTGTGGCCTTTGCCGGGGGAGCTAGTGCTTCAGGGCTGACCTCACCGTACCTGAATAGAAGCCGGGCGCCCAGGGGGCAGGGTGACTTCATCCTGTGGATAGCTCAGCTTAGACACTAGCTAGGGCCAGCCTCCTGCAGCAGCTGGCACCTTTTTTGAGAGGAAAATGGCCCCATCAGGCACCTTGTTTTACCCCTGGCACCAACCCAGCCAGTAACAGGCGTGAGGGTAGCTCAGGAGGAGAGAGAAGGAAGGATATATATGGGTTACTGTGGAGGCTGCCCAGGGTGAAGCTGCCTGAGGACAGGGCTGCCCCGGCGGGGAGGCCACCCGGGGTCCGTTCAGCTCTCGTCTCCATCCTCCCCTTTCCTCACATCCGGGTCTTCTGGGCCTCATGTCCTCCCTGTGTCTGGACAAGGTGGGGCTTTGGCCAGAGGGTGACCAGTGACGGTGGTGCTGGGAGGGGGTGTGGGAAGATGACGTCCCTCACACTCATCGTGTGCCTTCTCTCGTGCAGGTGAAGGAGTCAGACGGCGTGGTCAATGATGAGCTTCCCAACTGCTGGGAATGCCCAAAGTGCAATCACGCTGGCAAGACCGGGAAAGTGAGTGTCAGCGGCCGGGCCCCAGGGCGGGGTGGGGGCGGGGCCATGTCCACTTTTGGGGTCTCCGGCCTCAGCTCTGCCCCAGGAATCCATCCGGGGGGCGGGCGTGAATGACGGAAGGCGTAAGTCCGAAGATATAAAGGTGGTTTGTGCTTTCCTCTTTTTGGCGTACAAGCAAAAGCGCGGCCCCGGGTTCAAGTACGCCTCGAACCTGCCCGGCTCGCTGCTCAAGGAGCAGAAGATGAACCGGGACAACAAGGAAGGGCCGGACTCGGCCAAACGGCGAGGAGAGTGTGAGGAGGCTGCCCGGCGGAAGTCCGAAGAGCACGCCAAGAAGGCGCCTGTAGACGCCATCCTTCGCAGAAAGTCTGACGAAGTTCACCTGAGGAGGAAGCGGAAATTCGAGAAGCCCCAGGAGTTAAACACACGGAAGCGGGTAGGGACCTAGGAGGAAGGCTGTCGGGGCTTGGCTCCAGGCCCACAGCCCAGGGGCAGAGGGTGCTCAGTGGGCGTGGGTGGGGGGTGGGTTCGAACCCAGGGGGCCTGGCTGCGTGCCGCCCTGAACACAGAGATACGCCCCAGAGCAGGGAGGGAGCGTTGGGGGCGACCATCCTGAGTCCCGGCCGGCTCGAGGCAGGGCCTTTGTGTCTGCCTGCCCAGGCCTCTGAAGCCGTGGAGCTCAGAAGACAGCAGACGCCTCCCTGTTTTCTTGGGTGTTGGTCCATCCGGAGGACAGACCCATCCCACACCTTGCAGCAGATGGTCTCTGCATCTGTCCGTCTTTTGGTTTAATGCACGCAAAGCACTTTGCAGACCTTTAACAGTGATCTCCAGGATCCTGGCCACGTCTGCCTGGCCACCTTCCCCTTCCTTGGCCACTGGGTGGCGCCTGGAGCCTCTCTTCCCCGTCTCTCCTGGGACGTCGCCTCCAGGGGGCTCCGCTTTTCCTCACGTCCAGTGGCCGGCCTCTGTAGGCACTTGAGTAAATGGGTTTGAGGTCCCCAGAAGGGAAGGAGCCTCGTTTGGCGAGGACTTCTGGAGGCCTCTTGTACTAGTCCCAGCTCCGTCCTTGGCCACTAGCGATACCTTTCTGCTTTCCCCCAAAGCAGAGAGGCAGGGCCCAGCTGCCTGTCAGTCTGGTGTTGCCGAGGGAGTGACAGGGATGGGGCCGGAGGCCTGCCTGCCTGCCTGCCTCTGGCTCGTGGCTCCCCGGCCTCTCTCAGGACTGTGGACCTGGCCAGTATGGGAGAGCTGTGTTGGGCCTGGACCAGCCCCTAGAAACAGGGGCCAAGCTCTGTGTTCTTTCTTTCCCGTGACAGCTAAAACTCGTCAAGGAGGAGAAGCTTTTCAGGAAAAAGGTACCTCCCCTCCCTCAAGCCCCTGAGTCTCCCCTGAGCCCTCTCCACCCCAGAGTCCTGGATTCCCACGCTGTTGGAGCTCTGTGTCAGGCCCCAGGGTGTGGGGTGCTCCGGGGCACCTTCCGCTAAGGCCAGGCCGCCTTGTCGTTGCAGCGGCGGTCCTGGAAGAACGCCGAGGACCGCGTGGGCCTGGCCAACAAGCCCCCTCGGCGTTTCAAGCAGGAGCCCGAGGATGACCTGCCCGAGGCGCCCCCCAAGAGCAAGGAGAGCGACCAGTCCAGGTCCAGCTCCCCCACGGCGGGGCCCAGCACCGAGAGCGCCGAGGGCCCAGACAAGAAGATGAAGGCCCGCCGCAAGCGGCGGCTCCCCAATAAGGAGCTGAGCAAAGAGCTGAGCAAGGAGCTGAACCAGGAGATCCAGAAGACCGAGAACAGCCTCGCCAACGAGAACCATCAGCCCATCAAGTCGGAGCCGGAGAGTGAGAACGAGGAGCCCAAGCGCATGCCGGGGGGCGAGCGGCCCCCCCGTTTCAGCAAGGGCCTCCATGGGGCCCCCCGTGAGCTGCGGCCCCCACTTGTGCCCGGCCTGCGCGGCCCCCCCCGCGTCCCAGCGCGGCCCCCGCCCTCCCTGTCCCCACCCAAGTGCGTCCAGATGGAGCGGCATGTCATCCGCCCGCCGCCCATCAGCCCCCCGCCAGACTCGCTGCCCCTGGATGACGGCGCTGCCCACGTCATGCAGCGGGAAGTGTGGATGGCCGTGTTCAGCTACCTCAGCCACAGCGACCTCTGTGTCTGCATGCGGGTCTGCAAGACCTGGAACCGCTGGTGAGGAGGGGGACTGGGAGTGGTGCCCCTGGGGAAGGCGGACCCCGGCCGTGGTGTCACGGCACGGACACGCCGGGCCAAAGGCCGGGCCTGAGCAGGGCGGGGAAGGGATGCCGCCGGAGGGCCTCGCTTTAGAATTGGGGCGTCCGGGGCTCAAGGGCCCTTCCCCTGTCATGGGGTTTGGCCATCTGGGGAAGCTTTTAGGTGCCAGTCACGATCTCTTTTTTCATTTGTTTAAATTGAAGGAGATGCCCAATTTCACTTAGAAGTTAGTGAAAATAAAGTTGAAATTTCTTTTCCCCTCCACATCCATGATCCGCTCCGGGTAAAGAGCTTGTTCTCTGGGGCTGGAGACTCCATTAAGGAGGAGCTGGAGGGGCTGGCCCCTGTCTGGGTGTCAGCTCGGCCCTTCTCGGGCCTCCCTGGTCAAACGAGGAGGCCGGCCAGGACGCGTGCCCAGTCTGTTGCCTCTCACCTTCTCCCCGGGTGTTGGTCACAGGTGCTGTGATAAGCGGTTATGGACCAAAATCGACCTGAACCACTGCAGATCCATCACTCCGCTCATGCTCAGCGGCATCATCCGCCGCCAGCCTGTCACCCTGGACCTCAGCTGGACCAATGTCTCCAAGAAGCAGCTCAGCTGGCTCATCAACAGGCTGCCTGGTGAGTGAGCCTGCCCGCGCGGGGCCCCCCGGGGAGCGCGGTGGGCGGCTCGCGGCTGACCCCGCACGGCCTCTCTGCAGGGCTCCGGGACCTGCTGCTGTCCGGCTGCTCCTGGATCGCCGTCTCCGCCCTGTGCAGCGCCAGCTGTCCTCTGCTGCGAACGCTGGACGTGCAGTGGGTGGAAGGGCTCAAGGACGCCCAGATGCGGGACCTGCTGTCCCCCCCCACGGACAATCGGCCAGGTATGACGGCGGATGGGCGCCTCTGTCGAGGGCGGGAGACCAGTAAGCATCGATCCAGCACTCACCGTGTGCCGGGCCTCGAGGGGTGCGAGGGGAAAGAACTGTCCATCCCTGCCCTCGGGTGGAGACGGCGGGCCCATAAATTGGGAAACACGAGAGACGGGCGGGACAGGCGGAAGCGAGGAAGGCACCAGCAGTGAGGGGCGGTGCCGATGGAGCGGGGCGGTATTGGGGGATGAGCTGCCCTCCTCCCTGTCTGGCATATCCCCCCCCCCGCCCTCTAGAGCTGCTGCCTCTGCCAGCGCACTCACAGATCAGGGCTCTTGGACATCACGTGGTCAAATCAGCACATTAATGTTATTACAGTTTTTAAAGGCTTTTCTTGATCCTTTTTGTCCCTTTTTTTTTTTTTTGGTGAGGTAGTCGGGGTTAAGTGACTTGCCCAGGGTCACACAGCTAGTTAAGTGTGACGTGTCTAAAGCTGGATTTGAACTCAAGTGCTTCAGACTCCAAGGCCGGAGCTCCGTGCACTGCACCGTCTAGCTGCCCCCAATCCTTTTTGTTCTTATATCAGTCGTATTTTTCAGATATCAAATGCTATCTCAATGAGTCTTCCCCTGTAGGAAAGAAAAATGGCAACTGCACAATATGTATGTGGCTGTCCACACCCATTGTGTGCTACTTGTCCAGTGCAAGGAGGGAGGGAGAGAGATGTCTTTGTAGGGTCGATCATTGTAAGTGCCTGTCTTTGCCTTCATTTCTGTCCTTTCCGTTTACATCACTGGTCATTTTGTAAATTCTCTTGGTGCTACTTTCTTCAGCGGCATCCATCAGTCAGTTCCCCAGCTTGCTCACAGCTCAGCAATGCCATCATTCATGTTCCACAGTCTGTTCGTCCTTTCCCTGTTGCCCACGGGGAGAAAAGGTTCACGCTAAGGCGTGTTGGGCAGAACACTCGAGGATCCGGAGGGTGCGGTTTAGAGCAGGTTCAAGCCCTTCCCTTCTGGACTGTAAGGAGCACAGAGGCCTTGGGCACTTGCCTTTCCCTGGAGTCAGCCTGAAGCACCAAGGCTGAGGGAATCTGCGGTACTCTATGCCATGCCCTACGCTAGGCATGATGGCAAAAATGGAGCATGCTTGCTGCTCTCAGGTAGTTTACATTCTACTAATATAATGGGAGCATTTGATTTTTTAAAAAATTGCTGTATTCAATAAAAAAACCCACCCGTATTTGCTGAGTACGCAGTGGGTCTGCTGCCCTGGAGAGCTTCCCATCTACAGAACAGTCATGGTGGCTCCAGCTCTGACCAGGGCCTGCAAGCACGGGCTCCTTGCCCTTTTAGCTCCCTCTCCCCCTTTCTCCCTTCATGGCTGCCCTGGACTGGCTACGTGTTGTCATGGGGGCCTTGCGTAGTCCTTGTTGAGGGACAGCTCATGGCTGCTGCCGAGGTTGGCAGCTGCGGGGGTTATCTGGATCTGGGCCTTTGGGCTCTGCGTCACTCCGGCCTCTAACCCAGTTGCACCTTGGCCATTCTCCCACTTCTGGGCGTGCTCCACCAGGATCAGCTCTCGCTCTTGCTCGCTGGCTCTCTCTCTCTGTCTCTTGTCTCTCTTTCTTTTTTACTGTTAACCGGACGCTTGTCCTTTCCTCCCCTCATCAGGCCAGATCGACAACAGGAGTAAGCTCCGGAACATTGTGGAACTGCGCCTTGCCGGGCTGGACATCACGGATGCTTCCTTGCGGCTCATTATCCGCCACATGCCCCTGCTCTCCAAACTGCACCTCAGTTACTGTAACCATGTCACTGACCAGTCTATCAATCTGCTGACGGCGGTAGGGACAACCACCAGGGATTCCTTAACAGAAATTAACTTATCAGGTGAGGCCCCGTCTGCTGCTGGCCAGCTGGGCTGGTGAGGGAGGGACCCGGTGGAGACACTGACTCGAGGCTGCACGCAGCGGAGCGTAGAGACTTGCCTGTGCCTGTGGTCTGGCTGCCCAGTTTCTGGCCGTGTCCTTTACTGTCATTAACCCCACAGCACGGGAAGTCTGGTTGGGATGTGGTCCTGTGGACCACGTCCCCACCTTACGCCCGGCACTGGGCCTCCCCAGCCTGAGCTGTCAGGCAGAGTGCAGGATCCCTTTTTAGGCCATGGACGTGGGACAGGTTCTTCTTCCAGACAGTTAGTGTGTCCTCCTGGCTCTCTCAGGTGGATTGACCTTGCTTTCAGGAGCACAGGGAGAGGCCAGAGGAGGCTGAGGACACTGAAGCTGGGGTCAGGGACTTGCCCACCGTCACCCAGGCAGTGACGGGCAAAGCTCTGGGATCCCAACCCACACCTTTCTCTCCAAACCTTACCATTTTATTACACTATTTTGCTGCTTTCCAGCATCAGAAATCAGCTTTGAAGATCAGACTCAAAGCATCCTAGGCCATCAGGGTCAGAGTGGAGTTTGACTCTCAGTATGATCTAGGGCAGTGGGGTCAAATTTAAATAGAAACGGGGACACTAAGCCATACGGAAGGCTCCCTGAGGGCTACGTGTTGACTCAAACGACAAGTTGACATTATCTACGTTCTGTTGTATTTTTACTTATTTTGTAAAATTTTTACCAGTTATGTTTTAATCAGGTTCAGCAGCAACACTCCTGGTGTTGGACAACTCATTTCATTTGAACAAATACTCACTAATACTGGGCCTCGCTTTCTTTCTCAGTAAAATTAGCTAGTTAGACTAGATGGTTTCTGCGTTTCTTTCTGGGGTCTTTTGTGGGAAGCAGCAGGATCTCCATGGATTTGAATCCCAGCTCAACTCCTTAAATCCACCTGGGCCTCAGTCCCACATCTATCAGAGGCCCCTTTCACTTCTCAGTCTAGGCTCTTAGCAGCCACCTACAGACCTGTGATCGACCCGCGGGCCGTTTGGGGGGGGAGGGAGGTTGGGTTTCCCGTTTGCCATCTGTCATTCCTGCTGCCAGATGAGCAGAGCCTCAGTCATGCCTTAATGTGTGTCAGGGTCCCGAAAAACAAGAACACTGATAGACGTCTTCTCTCTGTTTTGTCTTCACTGCAGACTGCAATAAGGTTACTGACCAGTGCCTGTCATTCTTTAAACGTTGTGGAAATATCTGTCAGATTGACCTAAGGTACTGTAAACAGGTGACCAAGGAAGGCTGTGAGCAGTTCATAGCCGAGATGTCAGTGAGTGTCCAGTTTGGGCAAGTGGAAGAAAAACTCCTACAGAAACTGAGTTAGTCCAAGGACAGGTGTGTAAATAGTGGGCTGGGGAGGGGGGAAGGAGAGGGAGAAAATGACTTTCATTTCAGAATACACAGGGATTTTATTTTACACTTGGAACTTGGACTCACAGAGGAGAGCAAAGATCCCATTTTACAAGCCCTATCTATTGATCGATTGATCCCGGAAAGGACCGAGTTCACCTCCCTCGTTGTGGACGCCCAGTGCACACACGGGCCAGGGCACTCTGCACTCCCTGGCTTCTGTGACGATTCCTAAGAGACATTCACAGCTGGGGGTGGGGGGCGGGGTGGGGAGGGAGGGAAGGATGGACTGTGGAGATATTATTTAAAGTACCAGAGCATGAGCTTGGAAGTGTACATTTTTTTTTTAATTTCTGCTCCTCTTTTTCCCACGGTGACCCCTCCCCCTGCCGAGTTTTTAGTATCTTTCCAATGGACCACAAGCTGCATTTCTGCCGCCTCAACCCATCCTGTGTTTTGTTTTGTTTTTTTGTTACATGATACATGATGCAGAACTATTTTTGTACAAATTGTTTAAAGGTTATTTATGCAACATTTGAATGCACACCAGTGTTGTTTTTTGTTTTTGGTTCTGGTTTGGGCTTGCCAACATTTATGGTTTACTTACGGTAGGAGACAACTTAACCTATCTAGACTTCATCAGACAAAAAATAATCCATCAGCAGATACGCCCAGGTCTGGCCAAGCAGGCTCACACTTTCGATTTAAAAGCATGTTTGAATGGGAGTTGATATCCTGCTTGTATCCTTCAGAAGTGACCGAAGCATGTTGTGGAAAACCAGTGTCAGTTATAGTTGAAGTAAGACATTTGGCCAAGTCTTCTCTGTATAGAATTCACCTTTTTTCTCAAAATTTTCCAATTCCAATTTCAGCTTTTGCACATCGGAGGTTTTTGCTCCAGCATGAGCTCTTGTTACTCTATAGACCTAATTTATACAGTGAGTCAAGCCACAGAATAAATGGTCAAACATAGTCTCTTTTCTCCTTTCCTTTGCAATGTGAGTTGAGTTCTCAGTTCAGGTTTTCTGCCACGATTCTTTCCTTATTGTACAGTTATGCATTCATAAGTGCCATTGTTGTAAGGTGGTGTTTTCATAGCCCTTCTCGATGAAGTTTTACCTTTGTTGAATTTGTATAAACAATTGTACAAAAGACAACACCACAAGCCTTTGAGGGTTTCTGTTCTAGGAGGTGGGGAAAAATTGGTTTGGAGGGCAAACCCATCTTGACTGTGTCACAAGAGAGCAAACACCATTGGAAACAGCAATACCCTCTAATTCCTACTAACCCAGGTGACTCTCCTAGGTTTGGACAGAGCTGGAAGAGACCAGGCCCAGTGGACTCGTCCAGGGTCCTCATTTATATGGGAGGTAACATGTCTACTCGGCATTCTTTTCACTTCTTTTTCTTGTTTCTTCAGAAAGCACTTAAATTGCATATCTGGCATTACTACAAAATGGGGAGGGAGAACCTCAAACATTTTATCACCAACAGTTCAGGTACAACAAGCAGCCTCATTTAAGGTGGGTCCGGACCTAACGAGAGGATAACTACCAGAGCTTTGAGAAAAACACATCATACAGCACTTGGGTAGCTATCTTCTGGCAGCAGACACCAACCTCACAGACTTAGTGGGACTTGTATCACTGATTGTTACTTCTGAAAAGTTCATCGTTTAGGTTGCTGCCCTTCAAGGTATCAGTTAATCTTTTCAATCCTGAACTTTGCCTCAGTTGCCAGGAGTCAGAAGGTATCACGAAGAGAGCGCAGAAGGAGTGTTAGGAGATGTGCATCTCGTTATTTGCTAGGCCTGTGACCACGCACAACCCACTCTCTCTGAACCTCCGTCTCGTCACTAGTAAAATGAGGATGCTTGCAGTATCCTTTGGAGGAAAACTTAAGATATCACATAAAGGTGCAAGGCAGTTGTTTCTGTCAGACTGAGGAACTCCCGGTACCCATTTTGTTAGATAACCTTACCTCATCAGAGGCCTTGATATGAAGCAGGATCCAGTCTCTCCATGTCCAGATAAATAAAAATGGCAAACTGAGGTTTAGATTAAGTTGCATTCGTAGTGGAGCTCCCTCTGTCCAGAGCAGGTGACAGCTGGGGTCCTGCTGATATAAAATCCAGCCTCTTGCCCTTTGCACAGGGTGTGATGTGTAGCTCCCTGAATATCGGGAGTTTGGAAAGGCCTTCAGGCCATCCATCCCTTCCACGGCAGCCTTCAGAATTCCTTGTACGACATACGCAGTGAATGGCCTCTGATGTTGCCCTGCAGCTCTCCCGTGAGAGAAGCCACTACCTCCAGAGGCAGCCTAGTCCTTGTCCAAAGGTTTTGCCCTTTTGTAACTTGGCTCTCTGGGTCAGTCTCTGCCACATGACAGCCCTTGGGATTCTTGACGGCTGTTTTGTTCTCCCCCAGAGGCCCAGCATCTCCACTTCTCAGGCAGCTTGATCTCGGGGCTCTTCACAAGGGACACTACACATCACTTGTAACTGAACTCAGTATTCCCGACGTGGTCTGACCGGTTTACGGCAGGACTTGGACGCTGCTTCTCAAGGGAGTCCTACCACACCATGGAATTGGTTAGCTCTCCAGGCCACTAAAAGCTCTGGATCTTTCAGACAAACTGTTGTCTAGCCCCTTCCGTAATGTATCTAAGTTGAATGCCTCCTATTTGTCTCTATTAAAAAATGTACACTGTTTGGCCCGATAGCCAGTCTGGCTCTTTCGGTAAGCACGTCATTGGTGCTTCTCTCTAAGTAGTCACTGAGAAGAACAAAAAGCAGCCCAAGACCTTCAAGCACCGCTCCTTGAGGCATTCTACTGCAGACTCTCTACAAGGCTCAGGTGAGCAAAGGTACACTCCCAGACTCCTTTGGGCCTAGTGGTCAGCTCAAAACCCACATCTCTACCTCTTCTCAAATGCTTTGCCAAAAATTTATCTAAATTATACAGCATTCTGGGGCAGCTAGTTAGGTGGTACAGTGAATAGAGGACCTGAGTTCAAATGTGGCCTGACATGATAACTCACTAGCTGTGTGACCCTGGGCAAGTCACTTAACCCTGATTGCCTCACCAAAAAAAAAAAAATTATATAGCATTCCCCTGATCTATACTGCCATTCTCCAATGATTTCCAGTAGAACCCTGCCTTATGACAGGAGGTACAGTTCAGCAAAAACCAAATGAACTTAATGGTCCTCTCTCCACCTGCACTAGTACCTCCCTGCCAAGGGGCAGTGCACTGCTTCCCCAGTCCTCTGATGGGGCCACATGATTTTCACCACCTGTGACTGCTGAAAACATGGCTCTTTGTGGTCACTGCCTCCTCTTTGAGACAAACGTTGGTTAATGCTCCCTTTAACATCATCTAGAGTTTCACCCAGAACTGGAGTCTGTCCCGTGCCTTCACAACTCCTTCCCCTATAGATTTTTAGTCCGTGGAGGCCTGTCATTTCGGAACCCTTCAGACTCTCAATTTTTCATTTTCTCCCTCCCCTTTGCCATGGAACAGAGGCCTAGAGTAAAGTAGATCAGAGCCAGCCTTAGTGTGTTTTGCTTTCTAAATTCAACCCAGACTTCTTTGACTTGGGCCACCCAAAAATCAGCTTACAAATCTGTCTAGTTTTGGGGTGACCCCAAGTCCCATAGTGCCACGCGAGGCTCATCTAGGCTCATTCATAAAGCTTCCGTTAAGTGTTAGAGCAGCTGGAGCTCCCTATAGACATGTCCATGCAGCAGCGGGGAAGGTTTTTCATTGTTCTCTGCTGATCCCTTTGGCCTTCCAAGTTGCTAGTATGTCTAGAAAATCGGGCTCCTTTCAGGAATGGCTCTTTGGTGGTTACAGTTGCTTTCAAAAGGTAAGAGCAGGGGGCAGGCCTGCCCTGATGCTGCAACAAAGACCACATAGTTACTAGCACCTTGGCAGGGTTGGATACAGGCTAGTGCAGAGAGAAGCCCAGTAGTACCAAGGACTCGTCAAGCTAGGGGACCCACAGCTGGAGTCCAGGGAGCAGCTCACTCTACTCTTGACAAGCAAGACTCGGGAAGCATTTGTGGTCACAGGTCCAGCTTCTCCAGGGGACATTAAACATCAGAAAAGAAACTACCATTTACTTCAAGTTTACAAGTGTCTACTTAAGATTTTGGGGTTTTTTCATTGCTGTTGTTTTGCTAGGCAATGGGGTTAAGTGAGTTGCCCAGGGTCACACAGCTAGTAAGTGTTATGTGTCTGAAACCAGATTTGAACTCAGGTCCTCCTGACTCCAGGGCAGGTGCTCTATCCACTGCGCCACCTAGCTGCCCCACAAGTATCTACTTGAAAGGTAAACAAAGACTGATTTTAAGGAAGAGATCTTAAACAAGATGCAGCAAAATGTCTTTAAGTGCAGCTTAGCAGTAAACCAAGGGGCAACAGGATTCTGCCACGTGAAATTTCAGCATCTTGACCCAGGGAATCTAGATCTCAAAAGGAGCAACTGTTGGGGCATAGTTCACTGAGATGCCAAAAAGCCTCAATTCCATCACAGACTATGTCCTGTCCACAGGCAACCGTTGTGGGGATTTTAACGTTTGGCACCTTAAAACACAAGCTGCTTTTTTTTTCTTTTTTAAGGCAATTGGGGGTTAAGTGACTTGCCCAGGGTCGCACAGCTAGTAAGTGTCAAGTGTTTGGTTAGTCTGAGGCTGCATTTGAACTCAGATCCTCCTGACTCCAGGGCCGCTCTAATTGCGCCACCTAGCTGCCCCTAAGCTACCTTTTCTGTTCCCCTTTTAAAAAACAGATTTAAAGTTACAGTGTTTGGATTAAAATCTTTTTTAGTTTAACCTTAGCGCCCCCCCCCCCCATCCCCACCCCAAGGCACTTGCTAGCTTAGGCTCTTATTTATGGTTTCATGAACATCTTCAACACTACCTGCTATTTATCAGATATCTGAAAACACTGGGAATGGGAAGCTTGAGGGAAGACAGAACATTTCCTAAGTTCAGGGCTTCACAAGAAAAGCTGAATGCTGTTTCAGGCAGAGCAGGTGCAGGGATCACAGGATGCTTTGGAGGAAGAGATTGAGTTAACACCTCCTTAGTACACTGACTAGATGAGGGGATGCTCCAGGGGCTGTGATTTAAAAGCAGCCAATGCTCAAATTAAGAAGGCTAGAAAAATGTTTCTAAGACCCCATGCTTCAAGAGATTATTTTTTTCAAGAGGAGGGTTGAGAGCCCTACCTTCCTCGCACCGGTTCTGAGAATGTAAACTGAAACACGACCCTATGCTTGACAGCACAGCAAGTTTTTAATTTTTAAGTTCAGTAAAATATAAAGTGTAACATCGAGATCTTGGACATCAGGGCCCTGAGTCACGTGCTTGCTACCCAGAAATGCTTATTAAAAGATGAAAAGTGGTCAAAGAGAAATGAGTCAATTCAAGTTATTATTTCTATTTGTTTTTTAAAACATAAAAAAGCCTTTTAGACAAGACCACTGGTTCATGGATTTGTTTCTGTGGCAAGTGAAGAAAAGAATGTTAATGGACATGCTTTGGGTCTTCAGAAGTTCTAAATTATGTGATCTTTTGTACATATACCTCAGATTACAGCACCCTGATGATATATGTAGCTAATACACATTAGTTATTTTCATATTATAGATTTGTTAGAAATTGACCAAGACTGTACATGATAACACACACCTGTGAAGACTAGTTTAAAATTTGTAATTTATTCCTAAATTTGAACTGAGTTAGCAGGATAGCACTGAGGGGGAAACAAAACAAAAACACCTTCACTACACAAAAATGTAAAATGATGTTACAGACCAGAAAAAAAAAAGTCCTTAACATACAAACTTCCGTAATGAAAAATACTCTTGATGCAGCCATTGGTAGGAAATGTTTAATCAGAACATAAATTGACATGTTTATTCTAAGGCGCTGGCAGTTTTCTATGTAGACTCATTTGTCTCCGATTATATTAAATTTAAACACTAGAAGAGCAACAATGTGGAAACTTAACATTTCTCAATTAGCATTTTAAACATACTGGACTAAAAGGGTAAATAATCTGTGTGACCACTGCTTGGGGCACCACGTGCTTCACTTTCTGACACTGATCTTGTTGGAAGGGGGCAGCAGTTAAGTTAAAAATGATGTCGAAGCAATGAAAGGGAGGAGAGGCAGTATTCTTAAGAAGAGAGCAACAGGCAAGCTGAAACAGTTTATGAACAGAACTGGAAGCTCTTGTCAATTGGGAAGGGTCCTGGGAACCTTCTACCACCCCTAACCTCCCTCCCAGACTGCCAAAGGAAATATCACAAAGTGTTTCCATGTCAAACTGACCAAGATGAACTCTTCTTTCCACAATTCATAATGAAAATCAAAACAAAAAACAAAAATGTTCAGCCTTTGAACAATAAGGGTTTCAAATCCTGTCTGCTTATTGAAATGCTACTAAAATAAAACGGTGGGGCTGAAGAGGAGCCTTCCTATGATTTAAACACATGCACAGCTCGAACCACATACTGCCGGCAGATGGGACACTCGCTCATGCGCTTGCCACATTTGGTGCAAGTGACCATGTGGCCACATTCCAGAAGAACACAATCAATGACTGCATCCATGCAAATTCGGCAGAGGTTGTCATCTTCCTCGTCATTGAGCTGCATCTTATCTCCATCTGAAAGGCAATCAAAAGTACAGCAGGACCATAGGAAAACGCATCGCACCATCCAAAGCGCCCCCAACCCCAGGCCAGACACATGAGTGCCAGCTTGAGGATGGGGACCTAGGAGCCAATCAGTCATGTGCTCGCTCACTCTATACATACACACATGCCCACTTGATAATTCAGTCTAACAACACCGTGGTCTTCAACAGCACGTTCCAGCCCCTGGAACCATGCCACAAGAAATCATGACGTTTATGTCACCTCAATTATTGGCCTATGCTCCAAATCTGAGGAAAACTTAGGTCTGAATCAGATGTGAATTTGGAGTTCCAGATGTGATGCTGGCAACAGGGCCAAATTTGAGGGTCCTCTTTCCACAACCATGTCATCACAGGCATGGATGGCTGAAGAACCAGAACTGGAGAAAAAGAGTAACTCGGCCACAGGCAGCCTGGTGATGACTACTGAGTCTATACATCTGATAGGTACTTCTCCACCAAAACTGTTGTTAACTGTTGTTTCAGGAACTTAACAGTGTCTAAATACTTCCTACATGTTCCAGAAATAATATTGCTTAGGAGAATGCTAAATAATTGCGAAATAAAAACAGCCCAAGATGCATGAACAGTAAGGAGAAGTAAACCTGTGACTGTCAAGTGACAAATACAAAGTTGTTATCAACCCAGAATTTTTGCATTTCTTCCTTGCCCACACATCATGTACATGAAGTCACTACTTTATGGTCTAGTTCCCTATCCATTGAAAGAAAACCGATCAGTGAAAAAGTGTGACTTGGAGTCAGAGGACCTGGGATGATGGAAATATTCCATTTTAAGTTATTCAGTGGCTCATACTCATTTTCATTGTAGGAATACCCACTACCACCTTTAAAAAGGAATTTAAGATTTACAAGTAAGATAATGTAAAAGATACTGGCCTGCAGAAGGGATTAGATTACACCTTTTTTTTTTTTAATAGTGACTGGTACTATTATTAGGGCTTTTGTTAATAGTTTTACTGTAGTATGGAAAGAAAGGTTGGGAGAAAAGTCTGTTTTTGTATATTCTGAGCAAATTTTATACCAACTGTCACCAGTTTTCCCCTTAACAATGAAAGCCTGAAGGTGGGGGAGTTGTGGGAAGGAAAAAAAAAGAAAACAAACCTACATGATTTTTGATTTTCCTCATTTTCTTTGTATAGTCTGTTCACTCTTTCTACCAGCTCCCACTTTTCACAACAGCCAGAATAGTTGACAAAATTCCGAGCGAGGATTTCCTTCAACTGTCGGACACTCATCCCTTCAACATCTTCGAGACTTGACAGATCAGATAATGAAGCTCTCATCCGCTTTCGAGAAAGTCCAGGGGTCTACAAACACAGACAGCCTCCATTTATGCAGCACTCTAGGGTAAAACTAATGCGGCACAGACTGCTCCGGCACTCATGGAGTACTTCACACCTCAATACCCCAAGCACGGGAAGGCAGCTTTCTTCCCCACCCACCCAAGGTAACTCTACGTTTTAAACTTATGGGAGGGCTCCCTCACCTCTCCGGCATTTTCTTCATCATCCTCCATGTTGGTTGAGGGCGTTTCACCTTGTCCCTGTGCACATAATGAATCTGATCAGGACCAAAAAAACACTTTCCTAACAAAATTCAGGCCAACAACCACTTTACCCACACAGTGATGAAATGACTTCTATAAACAGCACTAAAGTTTCCCATGTTCTGGATGCTTCTAGGTTCTAGACACAGAGCACCCATATGCTTCCTAGAATGATTCCATGCACTGGTGCTACTTCTCCCTACAAAGTTAGCATATTCCCATGTATATCCAGTATCTTAAGGTTCTGTGCAAGTAGAACCACCAAGGAAGTGACAAAACCTAACCAGAATCTGAGGAGGGTCCAGCAGTGTTATTTTGTCAATACCGCAAGAATGTTATCACAAAGAGAAGAAATGGCCAGTTTAACTATAATGCTGATGCTCAAAGGAATGGATACTAGAGGACATTTAAAAGCCCTGCCCTACAGGGATATCCCAAAAGAAAATTCTTAATACTCTCTCACCTATTAAAGACTAATTGACTATAGCTGAAGCTAGTTTTTTTTCCTTTAAATGCTTTTTCAAAAGCAGGGCCTTCAATTTCCATTGAGATGAATTTCCCATTCTCTAATATCTACCATGAGACCACTAAGTAGCAGTAATAATAAAACCTCTAATTAGGGACAGGCAGAAATTAATCTAAAAAACCCCCAACACTCTTCCTGTTGTTACCACAGCTTACTCTTACCCTTTAAATGTAGCAATCTCTCCCAATTTTGTCCATTCCCCTTCCTAGAGTATTTTTCCTAGAGCTCTAGTCCTGTATTTATTTACTAGTCTGCCACCAGGATATTATTATCAGATCTTCAATATATTCAAAACAACTTATCCCACACCCCACCCTCCTTCTCCGAACCTACTCTTCTGTTGACATGCCCCAGTCTTCCAGTTACCCAAGCTCATAAGGATGGTGTCATCTTCGACTCTTTTCCTCTTTCTCATAGCCAAATGTCAAGTCCTGAAGATTCTAGTAAAGTTTCTCTGGCATTCATTCCTTCTCAACTCCCAGTGCAATTATCCTTTTTCAGCCCTTCCTCCCATTTCAACTGAACTCTTGTAATAATAGCTTCATATAACCAATCTTCCTCCCTCTTGTCCAGGAACTTTAATATATGTATGTTATGTTTAAATACAATTTGTTGCTGTTATAATCATGTGTTTTATTTTATACTTTAAAAAACCTTAACTCCTGCTCTGATCAATATATCCTTTCCACTATTCACAATGCTGCCTAAATAATTTTCCTGATGCACTGAATTATCATGTTACTTCCCCTCTGCTTACTTAAAAAATAAAAAATGGATGCTAGCATTCAATACTCTTCATACACAGGCTAGTACCCAACCTGTCTTTTCAGCTTTATCTCATTATCACTCCTTTGCATTCTCAACAGTTATTTAACCTTCCCTTTGTACCTTTATCACTGTCTTTGCCTACACCAGCCCCACGACAGACTTGATCCCCATCTTCTGGGATCCTCCTCTTTGATGACCTCCTCACCCACAATGGGTGATCTTGTTCATTCTCTTCATATGTCAGATGTTCCTCATCTAAGATTTCTCATAGCACTAAACTCTCTTTTGAATCAGTTCTTTGTGTCTGACTCCCTCTATTAAACCTGAAGTTTTCCTTATAATACATTTTGTCATTCAATATGATGCAAAGGTAAACAAGATTATGGAGGACAGTATTTAAGATAATTTTTGAGGGTAAGTCAACTTCTTTTGGCCCTAGCTGACTCACTTTAAAATGAGGTGCATAGGATGAAATGGTTTCTTAACTTTAGAAGCAACAATTTATATATATATATATGTATATATATGTATAATCGATAAATCTACTCATTCTGCTAAATCTTCTGAGGATCTCTACTAAGCAACATTTTGCTTTTGAGATGCTAAAGACATAAAACTAACTTTCCTTAAAGACTGATTTGGAGGTATTATCTCTCCCCTCAGTTAATGTGAATTAGTGAGGCAGCGACACTGCACCAAAACCTTGTTGCCTTCTGGTGCTGAATTTCTATAGTATAAGACTTCTACGATACTTGGCATATCCACATGTATTTAATTCCATAAACACATTCGTTCTGCACCACGTGCTGCCATGAATTCAACACCCCCAGTAAATGCTACAGAATGTTATTCCCATTTAAAATAGATAAACTGGGATATGTGGGTAATCACTCAATCTTAATCTTGACACCTTCATCAGTAGGCTATAAAAGGCCTCAAATTTGCTAAGGAAAGCATGGAATTATACTATTTTGCATACTTACAGCTTTTAGTTACTTTGTTTACTACACTTTTTCTTAAGATCCTCAGTAGGCCCTTTCTACTCAAATAACCTCCATTGAAAGGTGAACTTTCTACCCAAAGGCTCACAAACATCCAGGCACTTCTAGAAATTAGGCCCAAGTCAACTACCTGTGAAAGGGCTGCAGGGCCTGAGTTTCCTCTTTGGCTTGTGAGGTCTGCCTGCGATGAAGACACTGTTGGAGAAGGGACTGGGTATGTTGAAAAAAATGGATGCGTGAAAAAGCCGGAAGTCTGTGACCTTGAAGAATTCAGGCTGGGCGTGTCCACGTCTTCCTCAGAGCCCAATCCATGATGACACAGTACAAGATCAACCAAGTCTGCTTTCTCTCGGCAAGTGTCTATTGGTATATTTCGAAGAACGAGATACTGCCTCAGATCTCTGACTTTCAGGCGCATTAACTGAGGACGCTGAAAGGCAGTTTCTTGTAACAAGTGACAAGTACAACATCTTCGGAAATTTTCTTGTATGACTGAACAGACGGAACAAAAATCCTTCTTGCAGTCACAACACACATGCTAAAGAAATGGACAGGGAAGAAACCACTTAATTATGGATGCCACTCAGTCTTTGCTTGTTTTTCTTGCATTAGCAGTTCTTATTATCAATATTATCAACATGACGTTATTATGAAGCACTATATGCCACTGACCCATTTGCACAGATCTTTAGATCATAAGGGAGTTAGCAACACTTGAAAACAAACTGTTGAAACGATCTGGGTTCACTGAAGTCCAATAAAGATACTTTCAGAAAACCATACAAGCCTATGTTAATGAATTAAAACCTTTCCACCCCCAGCACAAACATATAATTAGCAGAAAGCACAGCTGACACCACCAAGTGGAGAAAGAACAGTGAAAAACTTTCATCCTGGGTCTTCTCACAGAACATTTATTCCCAGTTAAAGAAACATGTAAACACAATGAGAGTGAAGAAAGGAGAAAGGCAACTGATCCTTCAAGGTTAATCCTAGGAAATAGACAACCCTGCTAATACAATAATCTGTACCTTTTCATAGTCTTAATCACTCTCAAAGCTATTTCTACATCCCTGCTGAGAAAGACGGTAGTCAAAGAAATGCAATCATTTATTTCTGTTTGTTGCAGTGTTTCTACAAGCTAATAATATTTCTTAAAGAAAAAAATTAAGATGTGAACTGCTAAGAGAATTCAAGACAACCTGGAAATGTGAGGACCCTCAAAAAGAACATTTAAAGTTACTTTGCAATATGAAAAATGTTCTGAAATGGGAACAGCAGCAGTGACTTCTTTATTCTATTACTCTTCATTTACTACTTAATACCAATGGATGATTTTGAAAAACTGAGATCAGAATAACACTATAATAACCCGACCAATTTGGAGAAATGCTCAAACCTCTCCCGTAGGGGTACAGGCACTTGGTACAATTAGATCAATGAGGAGCCTTGGTGCCCTGACTGAAGTGACCACAGATCTCTATGAAAACAATTCATTCTTCCTTAGACAAAAGCTTCAGTGTTAACTGCTTAAGCCACATGATTCCTGGGTACCAAGGCAAGCTGTGAAAGTCAACAGGCAGGTTTCAGGACTGGTTCAAATTGGTATCTGCCTCAGTTTACCCATCCGATAAAATATTAAGTGCCAAGGGTTCTTCTTTTAAAATGCTTAAAGACTCTTTAGATTAAAGCAGCCATAAATACAAAATCAACATACACATAGAATCACTGAGTATTACAGCTAGAAGTGCTCGCAATTTGCTTTTAGCATTGAACACTGTCAACTGGAAGCAGAAAAAGTGAGAAGCTTCAGCAAAGCACTCCTTTATATATACACACAACTGACATAAACCCTGAAATTCTAAAAGCAAGCTTTACCCTGGTAAACCACCACAACGAAACATCAAGTTGTTTCTAAGACAAAAAAAAATCAGAACAGTAAATATAAGTAACCCCTTCTAGTTCTGAGAACTTTACTAAACAAAAGGGTAAAAGCTTTAAGTTGTTCACAGTTTCACCTAAAGGAATCTCCCTATTATTTGATTTAAAGTATCAGACTGACATTTCAAAAAAATAAATAAAACTCACCTTTTTTCTAAAAACTGAAAATGAAAGTCCACAGGCTTTGCAAACTATATTAGCTCCTCCTGTAGCTGCTGGTGGGTATGTGGAAAAGTCAGTGTTTGGTGCAAATCTGAATGGGCCGGTACCTCCCCCAAATCCAGACTGTTGGCCTCTTACCGCTCCAGTCCCCATGACTTCATTCAGCAGCCCACAGCATGAAGCCCACATAGATGTAGCACCCGCCTGAAAGAAACCACCAGACAATCAGTAAATTCATTTCAAAATATAGTAAGCCTCAGTTATGTGGACACCTTTCTGGAAATGAATAATTAGGAATTAGCAGATGGTTTAATAACCCTTTAAGCACCAAGATTTCTCATTTTATGAATAGAAATCTTCCTAAAATGCATTACATACTTCCTTACCATTTTGAAGAATAAACATAATTTAAATTTTTCTTAAAGCTGTAAGGTTATCATTATAATCAATTATTTTATTTGCTCAAGTACAGTCAAATTCTCAGTAGCCACTAAGTTGGAGGACCTTGATGCTGGGGGTCGCTTCTTAGCTGCTATGTGCTTGCACGTAGCAGCCCCCACTCATTCTAATTCTTGCCCTGTCTTAGCAATTTGCTGTCACCAAAGCTTTTTAGAACTGTGTGTAAAGTAAGAGCTAATTGGCTTTGAGCAAGAGTCTGAAGGTCTTGTATGTTATTACGTATAGGCTTTGTGACACTTACATTGGCTGTTCAGAGTGTTTTTTGCCTCCATTTCCTGGTCAAGCTGCCAGATAATTGAGTTCTTAACACAGTTAAATGTAGCATCTGAAACAAACAGTTTCTCCTATCTGAATCCACAATCAAATATTAACTATGTAGTATTTGTAGAAGGCTAATATAGAGAATCCATCCAAAGATGACTATATTTTTAGTTCCTGCTGATACTCGGAAGCCCTAGGTCAACAGCATGGGGAAGAGGCACAAAACAATGGGAAACTAGCCGTAGCCCAAGGTTCTGAAGCTACTTCTTGAGAGCTCCAAATTACAGGGCAGCCTCTGTGATTTAACTGCTGTGTGTTACAGTTACAAAGCACTCGCTGTACACAATCTCATTTGATCTTTACAACTTCACCACAGGTCATCCAGACAGTGCTGTTTCAGGATGAGGATGCAGAGGGACAGAAAGATTAAGAACCTTTCCTGAAGGTGCCTGGGGCTCAGATCTCACAAACGTTACCTCTAAATCCACTGACATTTTCCCCTGTGCAGTGCTGCCTCTGGGTAATAATATAATCAGGGTTCTGGGATGATTTCAAAAGCAGGGACTGCTGCTTCCTTTGTAGCCCCATCGCCTAAACACAATGCCTGACACACAGCAGGTGCATAATAAATTCTTACTGACTTAATACAAAAAAAGTTCATATAAATAATAGTGATGATATCAACACCCAGCTCCCAGGATTATGAAGACCAATGAGATATTTGTAAAGTACTTACCACAGTGCAAAGCACATAATAGGCTCTTAATAACTGTTTACTGAATTGAATTTTAAAAGAGATAGCTCAGTGGCACAATAATAGAGCTATGGACCTGGAGTTAAAAAGACCTGAATTCAAATATGGCCTCAGACACTTACTAGCTTGTTTGACCCTGGACAAATCACTTAACAAGTCTGCCTCAGTTTCCCCATCTGTCAAACACAGATAATAATAGCAACTATCTCCTGGGATTGTTGTGAGGTTCAGCTACGCAAACCTTGAAGCACTATACAAGTGCTAGCTACGTAAAAGAATATTTACTGTGGGGAGCTATAAGTATACCCTGTTTAAAGCAAACTAAATATATTATGATTTAAGACATAATTAGGAAGTGATTTTCCTGACAAAAGGAACCCATCTTTTCTAGACAATTTCCCCTCACTTAGCAGGGAACTGAGATCTTAAATCTATTTTTGAGCACTGGAAGGGCTGTCTCAAGTAGAAAAGAGATCCATTTTCCAATCTGGCCCTACAGAATAACCCTAAGAGCAATGGGTTGGGTAGAAGCTGTGGAAGCAAATTCAGGCTTCATGCCCCACAAACAGATCTCCACAAGAAGGGCCAGATGCCTCCAGAAGAAGTGAGCTTCTCATCACCACTTGTGGAAGGGATGATGCCTTTTCAAGATATGGGTTTGACTTGATGGTCTCTGAATACAGTAAGCTTCTCTACTACTTTTGAGAAAAGACTTTCCTTAAAAACCTACACACACTCTTTCAAATGTACGTCTAGTGCAGTAACAGGCACAGTTCTATCACCTCTCTCCCCAAGAAGCTCAGTGAAGTGCAGTCTCTGAAGCTCTCCAGTCTGGGCAGACTTTCTGTCCACTCAGCCTCTAGAGAGCTAAAGTTAATCTTGTATTTCATCAAAGTTCTTTGAAAGCAGGGACTGTTACTTTTTTTTTTTTAAGCAAAAACTGCTAGAACAGAAGTTCTTAACCTTTCTGCACCGTGGATCCCATTTGTCAGTCTGATAAAACCTTTGCAGAGGATGTTTTTAAGTGCATAGGGTTACAAAGGAAACCAATTATCTTGAAAGTTATCAAAGTAGTTTTGGATTTGTTTTTTAATCCACACACAAGTTCACAGACCCCTGGTTAAGAACCCGGATCAGTAGCATAATGGGCTATAGAGACAGAAATTCTAGGCATTCTGAGCTGGAAAGGACTTCAAAGATCTAGTCCAACCCCTTTTTTAAAGATAAGGAATCTTCACAAAGTCCAGAGTTTAAACAATTTGCAGAAGCTCATACACGAAGTTTCAGAGGTGAGATACGAACCCAGCTGTGTGACTCAACATCAGCATTCTTCACAATACAATTCCTTTGCTTCTTAAGCAGCAAAGGTTGAATAGGAGCAAAGATTAAATACTGAAAGGAAACACTTAATACATCATAAAGGAATCCTGATAATTTTTCCTTCCTTGATGCAGCACTCTTACTTGATTCAGGGACACTGGTACACCCTATTGGCCTTTGGAAATACTCAAGAGTACATTCTGCTTACCTCGTCTGAGGTGTGACACTATGATGGAAGCATATAAAAAACTCATTCCATTTCCTCTTTTAGACAAAGAGAAAGTTTTTTCTTAGCCTCAGGTTCTTTTGGACTAGAGAGAAATCTACCAGCACTCAATCAAAATCCAAGGAAGCAGGACCCTAACCTTGATCTCATTATCAAAACTCAATTAAAGAGCACTGACCCTCTCCCTGAAGTGAATCATATGATCAGATATTGAATTGGAAAGGTCTTAGAGGCCATCAAATCGACCCCCAATTTTTCAAATAAGGAAACTGAGACACAGAGAAGTCAAATGACTTGTCCAGGGTCACACAGCTAGTGTCTGTGGCAGGATTAGAAATTGGGTCTTCCAGATTGCAAGGTCCAGGGTTCCATAAAGCCACCTACCAAACAATGGACATCACACCATCAGAGACTCATAAAAAGTGCTTGCTTAATGGTTAAAATCGGTGAGCCCCTTGTGGAGGATTTACAGGAGAACACGGACAATAATTCCACAGGATGACAAAGTATGGATGACACGTATTTGGGGCATCACTGGAAAGAGTAAATGATCTCATGTTAAATGAGATCACTAATCCACTCTTGAAATACCTGAAAATACTACATCTGGAAGTTACAACAAAGTAGGACAGTTAAAACAAAACAAACAAACAAAAAAACAGGAGCAAAAAGACCACAGAATTTCAGCTGGAAAGGATTATCAAGTCTCATTCACTGGCTAAACAATCTTTACAAAAATATTCCTAGCAAGTAGTCATCCGGCCTCTGTTTAAGGACTTTTTAAATCGTGTGAACTCACAAGCTATCAAAGCAGCCCATTCCACTTTTGAACTAACTAGTCCAGTTAACTTACCTATTTAAAAAAGGTTTCTTTTATCACCTCTTTCACAAGCATTATTCCCTCCTTCTACCCTTTCCCCTGATTGAAATTCTGACTTCAAATAAGACATTTAGCAAATTAGGAAAGCCCTCAAAGAATGTTCCCCTTTGAGATCTGAACAGCTACTTATTTTGTCAAGTCTTTCCCATCCAGATGACGAGAGTCTAAACACAGCCTTACAGAGTGAAACCACAATAGCCAATATGTTAAACCAGAATCTTGAGATAAAATGTTAAAAAGCTTTGTTAGACCTTGCAGTGAGAATCAAACTACTTGCCCCTGGAACTCTATTACTGTTTTATTATATGTGGAAAGCTAAACAATATGCATGCTGCAGGGAAGGCCCATCACGGCCATTCTTTCCCAAACTACACTGCAAGCTCTCTAGTTTCTAAGCTTTCTCTCTGTAAAGTAATTCTTTAGAAAAAATGTCAGATAAAAGAAATAATCAGACTGTTCCATATTATCATCATTGCCCTGAACAAAAGTGTATTCCACAGCAAAGGCAGCAACAGAAGCTTTTTCTGAGAGAGACAGAAAGAGTGAGCCAGTCAGATAGCTTCAAATGTTAAATTTTGTTTATGGGTGCACAATCTAATGTGACTTTATTGATTCTGCATAAAGGGTATTTCAAAACTTTTCTGAAAAAAGAGTTCGTAAAGAGAAATCATAAGAGACTTATTAAGGTTGAACTGTTTACATTCCTGCCTGGAAAAAATGACATTTATAACTCATGAGACCTTTGTCAGTATTAGGGTAGTGGGAGGGGAAAAATTATATGTGTGTATGTATATAGATATAGATATAGATAGAGGGCACAGGATGAGTTGAAGATGAAGGGGTCATATCTGGAGAATAAAATTAAGGGGTGAAAGAGGATTATGCTGGGAGAAGGAGAAAGGGAGAGGTAGAATGGGGTAGATTATCTCACAAAAAAAAACAGAAAAGAAAAGGCTCTTACAGTGGAGGGGAAACAGGGGAAGGCGAGAGGGAATGAGGGAATCTTATTCTCATAGGATTTGGCTTAAGGAAGGAAGAACATACACACTCAACTGGATATGGAAATCTGTCTTACCCTACAGGAAAATAGGGAGAGAAGGGGACAAGAGAGCAGGGGGGATGATAGAGAGGAGGGCAGACTGGGAAAGGAGGTATTCAGAAGCAAACACTTCTAAGGAGGAACAGGGTCAAAAGAGAGAACAGAATAAATGGGGGAGGGCGCGGATAGGATTAAGGGAAATATAGTTAGTTTTTCACAACATGACTACTATGGAAGTGTTTTGCATAACTGCACATGTATAAACCTATATTGAGTTGCTTGCCTTTTCAATGAGGGTGGGTGGGGAGGGAGGAAGGGAGAAAATTTAGAACCCAAAGTTTTAAAAACACATGTTTAAAAAAAATGTTTTCACATGCAACTGGGAAATAAGAAATACAGGAAATAGGATACAGAAATCTGTCCTGCCCTACAGGAAAACCGAAGGGGAAGGGCATAAGAGAAGAGGGGGAGAGATAGAAGGGAGGGCAGACTAGGGGAAGGGATATTCAGAATGCATGCCATCTTGGGGTGGGGGAGGGGCGAGTTGGGGTGAAAATTTGGAACTCAAAATCTTGTGGAAGTAAGTGTTGAAAACTAAAAATAAATATTTTTTTAAAAAAGTTCGTACTATGTTTTTAATACAGTCCTAATGTCACAGAGGTTCTTAAAAAACCTTGCATCTTAGACCCCTTTTTGAAAAAATGTTTTTATGCATAAAACTACTAATTTAAATGTATAAAATATATTGGATCACAAAAGAAACCAATTATAGTTTAATAAAGATGTAATATTTCTTCCATTCAAGTTCACAGACCCCCCTCAAATCTACAAACCCTTTGTGGGGTCCCACAGACCCCAACATTAAGAACCAACACACTAGAGTTTGTGTTTACGGGGCTTTATAGGCCCTTTTAGTGATTCTACCATAAACACAAGTAAACTTAAAGGACATGGGGAAAACCAGTTTATTGTTATCTGAAATTAAATGGTAGTACAGAACAACAGTAGGAAGTTGCAGTTTGGGTCTGTGGCCAAATCCAGGAGGGCACTTACAATCGAAGACCTCTATCCACATCTGGAAAGTTACTTAGCTGGCTACAAACTAAATTAAGAATTAGGCACACTAACATTCTGTGGGATCGTTTTAATGAACAACAGAGGTCATTCAAATTCAGCAACAGAAAGAAACGTCAGAGTTCCGATGTTCTACTGCCATCACACAGGAAAGGAAGGACAATAGGAATCTCTGTGTCATCCTGACCCAATGCAGCAGAATACAAAGCAAACGCTGCTAAGCTGCTAACCTAACAACGTGAGAAGCTCTAAACTGCAGCACTGATGTGAATTAAAGATTATCTATAGGAGAGAGGAGGAGACTGCAAGTTAGTTACTTTCCCCAGAGCATTGATTAAAGACGAACAAAGAAGAATGTAAAGATGGTAACTAATATCTTGACTCTAGCCAGGGACAACTGAGAAAACTACCCTACCAAGTATAAGGATTTATTTGTAAAAGCTCTCATTAGTAGGTGGAGAAATTCCAAAAATTCAGCAAATATCTATCGTGTCTATTACATACAGAACTCAACTCTGTGAACCAAAACATCCTACTAGTCGTAAGAGAAACAAGTACCTCATACATACATAGTAAGTGCTTCATAAATGAATGTCTTTTTCATTCACCCATTCAATAAATTCTAGACTCAAAATGTTTTTTCACAAAGTTGTCTGGAAATGAAAATTCCTACAGACAGACATTAGTATTAACAATTTAATGAATTTTCGCACAGGATATTTCATCAGATATTCAACATTACTTGCAGTATAGTGGAGATCTCTCAAAAGGTATCCTACAAAATTCTGAATGCTATGTTACTGCAGATAATTGAGAACAAGTAATTTTAAGGTAACTTACTTCTCCAGTATAGTATTCACAAAACAAACTTGCCAGTCACACATCAAAACACTTCAGACTCTGAGCTAGGTAAAGAATTCAAGAAAAACAGCCGCTGAGAGGAAACTGAATAGGTGATTCACCCGGACCCTGCCACACTACTGTTAGATTCATCTGTACAGTGTTCTTCGCTGAGGAATTATGGAACACTGATTGCTACCTACAAGTGTCTTTTGAAAACTGCCAGTGAGGAAGAACCCATTATCACTTAAGGCAGTTTTCTCTTAACCTTGGTCACAGATAAATATATAGTTCTAGCACTAGAAGGTACTTCAGAGGCCAACACTGTCATTTCACAAGAAATAGTGGCCTAGGGAAGTGAATTCTACGACTAGGTTGCCCAGTCAAGATTTAAACTTAGGTGTTAAGATGCCACTTCGAAGGCTCTTTCCATTTTAACACACTGTCTCCTTGTTACACCTCAGAAGCAGTGCAGCATAGTGGATAGAGGGCCAACCTTGGTTCAGATCCTGCCTCTGACAGGTAGTTAAGTAGTGCGAGCAAAGGCCTTCTCAGCACCCTAGAGACGCTACTCTAAAACTCTTCAGTTACAAATGAATTGTTCACCTGTCTGGCTGGAAGTTTCCACAAGGATGAAATCAGAAGTCTACTGGTTACACACACAGATGTAGTTTGGGTCAGAACCACCATGATCATGGAAGAATAGACTCAAGAACTAAGTTTAATTAACATGAGATTCCAATTTAGTTTAAAAATCCTGCTCTGTATCCTTCAATTTAAGGATATTAGAAAATTATTTGATTTTAAGACAATAATCACTAAAAACATACTAGAAAAAAACACATATAGGAGAGCTGTGGGAAAAGAGGCACACCAAGGAATTGTTGCTGGCCCTGTGACCTGGTCCAACCATTCCAGAAAACAATTTGGAAATATACTCCAAAAGTTACTACACTGTAGATAATAGATTCATTTAGAGTATGACCCAACTATACCAGTACTAGGCCTATACTCCAAAAAGATCAAAAATACTCGTATGTACAAAAATATTTATAATTACATTGGCTGCAGCTTTTTTCATAGCCCTCCCAAATGTAAATTAAGCAGGTGCCCCCCTTTTGGAAAATGGCCAAACACACAATGGTATATGAATCTAACAGATGTCTGTGTGATAAGAAATGACAAAATGGACAGTTTCAGAAAAAAACCAGGAATGCTTTTATGATCTAATGCCAAGTAAAGTTAAGCAGACTGGGACAACTTATACAATTACAATAACATTATGGAGAAAAACACCATGAAAAGACTTTAGAACTCTGATGAATGCAGCGATAAACCACCAGTCCAGAGGAATGAAGATCAATCATTACACCCACACCGCCTGCTAGAGAAATGATGGACTCAAAATATAGAATGAAACATGCATATTTGAACATTGATAAGGTGGTTATATATTTTTATTGGACTATACATATTTGTTGTAAGAGTTCTGGTTTTCAGTGTTTTTAAAAATTGTTCAATAGGGAGGGGAGTGAAAGGAAAAGATAATGCTCATAAAAATAAAAATCTTTTAAAAACCCACTAAAAGTAGTCATTTCCAGGGCAAAGTTTAAATGTGTTTAGTCAACTTCCCAGTAGTTAAAAAGTCATTTTAACTTCACTGAAAAGAGAACTTATTTGGGTGAATGCTCACATGATATAATTCCTGTAGTTAGTACTACTGAAAACAAAACAAGTGAGTATGCCCAAAAGCTGATTATTACATGCCCTTACCAGACTTTATAAAGCAATTCAACAAAATAGCTGTCATTCTATATAGAGTAAACTGGTCTAAGACTTATATCCTGAAAAAGCCAGTTTCACAAAAACTAAGATGTAAAGAAAACTTTATTCATAATTACCAGTTGGCAAAAGTCTAGGATTAGCCAGAATTTGTACTCGTTAGCACATTTGGCTCACAATATTAAAAAACAAAAAAAGTTATTGGCAAGGAAAAAAGAGCTGCTTTAACTCAATTTTCAGATGAAGTGCTTAAAAAAAGAAAGAGGATTTAAGAAAAAAATAAACACCAGAATTTCCTTAAAGAAAACCCCATCTTCCTATACTTTCTAGGAATTTTATGAGATACATAGTTAAGAATCAGTTCAGGGCAGTTAAATGTTATGTTATCAGTTAAATGTTACGTTCCCTCTGCTTCCCAAATCCCAATATTTTCATAATGTACTGGTACTAGTATTCAACATTTTGGGATTTGGGAAGTGTCAGACATTCACAATCACTTTCTGAAAAATGCCTCCTGAATAGTTTCTAAATCTTCCGGATTTCATTAACAGAAAAACTAAAGGACTAAACTGATTTGGCACTGAACCTGTCCTTACTTCACTCCTTGCTGATAACTCAGAAATGACTAGTAGCAGTTTAAAGAGACACATAGAAGATGATTTTTCCCCCAGTAACCGGGGATGCTAGTTGTCGGTGAGTATCCAATTTCACCTACTGTTATGGAGATTCTAAATCAAGCTGTTGAAAAACTAAACACACTAAACTGGGAAAAACAAAATACAAGTAGTTTAAAGTCACCGGACACTGCCCTTCGACTTTCCATCTGGGCTAACTCCCTCTCTTCAGCAGCCTCTCAGATGGCACCTTTTCATCGATGTCCTTCCATTGGCTCTCAGCTGAGCCCCGGGTGGGCGTGGGGGCGGCGGGTAAAAGAGAGACTTCACAGTAAACTCTTGTTCCCCGCGCAGGCCACAACTTCCCCGGGTTTACAGGATCCCGGCCCGCCCCAGCTCCCAGCCCCCTCCCCCATTCCCCCTCCCTCCGGACAGAGCGCCCCTGGGGGTCCCGTACGCGGCAGGCGTACATCCATCCGTCCCGTAGGAGCGAGGGCTCCAAGCCCGCTGGGTCCGACCCCCCGCGATCGGCAGGGCCCAGGAGGGAGGCGCGCACCCCACGCCGGCCGGCTGGCCGGCCGCCTGATGGACTCGGGCGCCTCTGCGGCCGCCCGGGAGGGCTGAGGGGCTCGCCAAGGGCGGGAAGAGGGTCCCCGAGGGGGCTGGATTACTGTCATGGAGCCCGCCTCCCGCGAGCCCAAGGCGGGCAGTGGGAGGCGGCCCCTCCGCGGAGGGACGGCCGAGGGACTCTGAGGAGACCGCGGAGGGGGGGGTCTTCGGCCGCCGCCAGCCCTGGTCCCGTCCCGTCCCGCCCCCCCCCACTCCGGAGGGAGTCCTCTTACCTTCATGGCCGCAACCGCCTCTCCTCGGTCGGTTCTACGGGAAAACTCAGCACCATAGCAGCCCTCGGCCAGCCACCGACCTCCTGTCCTCACAGGGCGAGGGAGACGGCGACCACAAGCGTTACAGCTCCTGCTCAGACACCTCCTAATCCGCGAACCGCTCGCTTGTCTATGGAGGAAGCGTCGGCGGCTGCGTCGCCACGTAAGGGGCGTGGGGGTACGCTAGGCGAGAACGGGAAAAGACTAGGAGGGGGAGGGGCGAGCGAGGGAGCGGCGGCCGAGACGACCAATCCGGGGGAGAGCCCGAAGGGGACCGGCCGTGAGAGCCAATCAAGCGTAGGACAAGGGGAGGGTCCGCAGCCAGGTGGTGGGCAGAAGATGGGAGGGGAGGGGGAAGAAAGCGGTGCGGAACAAACCATTCCGCCAAAGGGAGGAGAGCAGGTTTCACCAGCAATGAACAAGAAGGAAGAGCTCCTTAGTCATCTTTCTCCTGAGGTAAGGGCCGCCCCTCCCTTCCAGATCTGGGTGATGACGTCAACCAGGGGAGGTGGAGGGGGAAGGAGAGGCGCGAAGGTAGAGGGGAATTCGAAACGGCTCCAACGGTTGTAACGGCCCCTCGCGGGGCGCGCGTGCGTGCTCGCGCCCTCACCTTGGCCCACGCTCCTCTTCGCCCCATCGACGCCCCTCTGGGCTCTGTGAGCGGATGACCCTCCCATGGAGCACGAGAGAACTCCTAGGGTCAGGAGGGTAGAGGGGCCCTGAAGGCCCAGATGAACTCATTTTGGACTCCCTTTTGCCAAGACCTGGCACATCAGAGGCGCTTAAAAAATGCTCCGATGGGGAGCTCCTGACGAACCCCCATTACAAAACGCGCTGAAGTGCCTACTGTGTGCAGCACCCCCCCCAACACACATACCCCGGGGCGGGAAGAGGCTTCGCTGCAGGGAAAAACAAAAACATCAAACTTGCTACTAATCAAAGCGACCCCAAAGCGCAGCTTTGGCCGATTTGCAGGAGATGAAGTTACACATGAGGAAACTGAGGCCCAGAGAACTTCGGTGGGGATCTTGGGTGGATTTGAACCCTGCCCCGCCCTCCTCCTTGCCACCAGACAGCGTGCACTAAGGTCTGAGCACGTGCTAGGGGTCCGCCCTCCTTTGGGGGATGGGCTGCACTAAGTGGCCCCTTCGGGTCCCTTCCACCCCTGGGGCTCCTCCAGACCACACAGGGCTGTGCCTGATGCCCCATTGTGACATGGGGGTGACTGGGAGTTCTGAGGGCTCTGGCGGAGAAGCCCAGGTTGGCCCAAACCAGCCCTCCCCAGGCAGATGCCTTCGGCAATCTCTGCCCAAGCCCCTTCCCAGTACGGTTTACAGGGTTCAAAAACAAAGATAAGACGCTAGAATGACGATTAAACAACCACCAAGTGCTGGTAATAGTTCTGATTCCTCCAAATGAATATTCTGGTGCACCCTGGAGAATCATTTCCCTAAAACCAATCCATTTTTATCCACTCCCTCTAAGGCTTCTCTTTTTTCACTTGGTCAAAGGTGAATTCCAGAGATGCTTCTCTCCTCGAGTTAACTGACCCGGCTGACCATTTCCCTAATCGGATAATATGCATTTATTAGATACCTCCTACGTGCCAGGCACTGTGATAGTCTAATGAAGACTGAGTACAAACAAAATACAGGGGCAACCCTTAGCTAAGCTAACGAGGTTGGGAAGGGCTTCCTGTAGAAGCTAGGATTTTAGCTAGGATTTAAAGAAAGCCAGGGAGGTCTGCAGCTGGAGCAGAGGAGGGCAAGAGTTCTAGGCATGGGGGAGAGCCAGAGAAAATGCCCAGGGCCGAGAGATGGAGTGTTTTGTACGTGCAACAGCCGAGAGGCCAGTGTCCCTGGAGAGAAGAGAATGTGTTGGGGAGGAAGGTGTAAGAAGGATGGACCAGTAGAAGGGGACTGGATTATAAAGGGCTTTGAATGCCAAACAGAGCATCTCCTATTTGATCCTGGAATCCACTGGGAGCCGATGGAGTTTGCTGTGTAGGAGGGGTGACAAGATCGATTTGACAGTTCAGTGGAGGATGGACTGGTCTTTAAGGATGGCGGTCCCCTAAACTTTTAAGAATAAGGAAGTCAGGAAAAGGGAAGATTTTTTGGGGGAAAGATAATGAGTTCAGTTTGGGACATGCTGGGTTTCAAGCTATCTACAGAACATCCAGATGGAGATGTCCAATAGGCAGTTGGAGATCCGAGACTGGATAAACAGATTTGAGAATCATCAGCAAAGAGACAGTAATTAAATCCACGGGAACCGATGAGATCAGCAAATGAAGTAGGAGAGAGGGAGAAAAGGGCCCAGACAAAGGCCTGGGGGCACCTACCTTTAGCAGCTATGACCTGGATGAAGACCCAAAGGAGCCTGAGAAGGCATGGGTGAAGAGGTTGGAAGAGAACCAGGAGAGGACAGTGTCATGAAAACCCCGAGAGAAGAGAGCATTAGGGAGAAGAGAGTGATTAACAGTCAAAGGCTGCAGAAAGGTCAAGAAGCATGAGGGGCGAGAAGAGACAATTCCTTTTGGCCATTAAAAGGTCACTGGTAACTCTGGAGAGAGCAATGTGGGATGAAGGAGGAGGTCAGAACCAGACTGTGGAGGGGTAAGGAGAGGAATGACTCCATTGCAGACGGCCTTCTCAAGAACAGTCACAAAGGGGAGGAGAGATATGGGAAGATAGCAGGGAGACACAGGCATGTGTGTAAGCAGCAGAAAGCAGCCAACAGACAGGGGGAGAGAGAGGGGATGACAGCAGATGGGACGGACTGGGACCACCTGTTCAGGTAGAGGGGGCTGGCCCAGGCCACCAGAAGGGCCCCCTCTTCTGAGAGTGAAGGATGTGAGACAAGGAGGTGGAGGGGAGAAGAGGGAGCTCTCAGTGAAAGATGAGGCAAGGCTTTCAGCTGAGAGGGTTCAAGACAGGAGGCCCAAGGAAAGGATGAAAAGGTTGGGAAAAGCCTCTGGAGGGAGAGGGCGTGCATTAGAGAGGTCGAAGTGGACAGTCTGGATGCAGTAAGGGCCCAGGAAGTAGGATCGAGTCAGTACAATTTTGGCCCGGTGATTTCTTCCAGCTTCTGCTCAGTAGCATCTGAGGGGGGATGATCTGGCCCATCCCTTTAGGAAGTGGTGAGGCCTTCGATAAGAATGACACTGAAGGACTTTAGATATTCTTCCTTTGGCAATGAGCACATACAGATAAATGTTTGGACAGACATTGAGAAAATATTTGTAAGGGCGAGGGGAAGGGATTTCGTGTGCTTCCACACTAACATAAGGCCCAAGGGATTGTGGTAGGGAGCTAACATCCAGAGAGGTGTCTCCTTCTTCCCTGGAGGTACTCTAGGCCCTGGCTTACCCTATCATCCACAATGCCTTAACCCACAACCCCCAGTCTGACTGTCCCCTAGACCAATATCCCCTCTCACTCCTCTCTCCTAATCCCATCCTTCAAGTTGTTTTTGCTTCAGGAAAAAAAATTCTCCAGACCTCAGAATCTCATCTTCCCAGATTCAGAGACCTGCTTTTTAAACCAAGTGTTTATGGAGCGACTCAGTCTCATACATGATGGCTTTGATTTATTCAAGGACATATTTGCATCTTATCAAGGCACGAGAGCCAAAAGGTAGTTTTGTACCATGCCCCCCAGCCCCCCAGAAGCAGAAGGCCGATAGAACAGGAAAGAACCTGAGGACCCATCTAACCTCCTTGTTGTGTGTATGAGGGAACTGAGGACGAGAGAGGTTAGGGATTCAGGTCACAGAGAAAGGAAAGGAGAAAGCTAGGATCCGATTTCATTGCTCTTTCCACTGCACCACACTGCCTCCCTGGAGACCGCTGTGGTCAGTCATTTATGCCACAAAGTTCCCTCGTGCAGAAGGAACTCTGGAGATCTCATGACTCATTTAATAAAGAGTGATGAGGCACCCGTTAGGCTGACTATGTGCAGAGCACTGTGGGAGAGAGAAACCTTGCTCTCTGATTTGTGGAGCTTGTAAGGAGATAGGACACCAACCCTAGAGCAGTAGTACACGATATTACATAAGAGCATTTGAGAAATGCGCAACAAAATCATGGAGAACTAGTTACCTTAATCCAGAGACTTGTGGAAAAGTACTTTGTAAACCTTTAAATACAATAGGAATCCAATTTATTAAATTACTGGTCAACTCCCCATGCAGTGTTCCTTCCACTGTGACACACCAGTATCTCTGAACTCTATCCCTCCACAGAACTTAGAACAGAAAAGCACCTGCTTGGTAAGTATTTGAATAGTGGGGTAAAGATGCCTTTCTGAATTATCCTGCTTTCCTCTCAAAGACCTAAAGGAGCTGGTCCTATAGAAGAAACCTTCTACCTCATGATTCTCCAATTCAAGTAATACACAAACCACCCCTCCTCCTCATTTCTCTCATTTCCAGCACCACTCCAGACTCTTGACACACAGCATGGTAAGAATTCAGTAAATAATTGTCAACTGTACAAAACCATGATTCTTCTCATCTGGAATACTTAGCAGAACATGAAAACATCAAGAGAGGGTCAAGTGAAATGATCATAGGGATGGCGAGACTTCAATATTGGGATAATAATAATAATAATAGTAAAAGCTGACATATATATGTAGTGGGTTACCCTAAAACACAAGTCTGTGGGTCTAAGTTAGTATGTGTGTGTGTGTATATATATATATATATATATATACACACACACACATATATATATGGACTTTTACAGTATTTGTATACACAGAGTATACACTAACACTCTGTGGAATCAATGAAGGGGAGTTAAGAGAGGGGGGAGAGGAAGATGGGGGGAATACAGGAAGTGAAGTCAGTAAGTATATATAGATTGATATAGCTATAGCTTTATATACGGTATATCCTAACAGGAAGTAGGATGTAGACAGAAAGGTAGAGATACATAAATATATATTTATACAAATAGATATACACGCAGTATAACACACAAAGTGGAGTCAGCATGTATAATATGTACATACAGATGTATACATACTCTGTGTACACACACACACACACACACACACACACACACACACACCAGAGTATACCCTGAGGAAGGGGAATCATTAAGTACATCTAAAT